TAGGTCAGTGAGCCCTCCCGTGTGCAGGGCACCGAACAAGTGTTATAAACGCAGCAGTGGGACGGCCAGGGCCTTGCCCTCCTGGTGCTCACTGTCCGCTACAGGACACGGATTCCAAACAAATAAACAAGTATAGTGACTAGGCCTTCACAGGTGCTGATAATAGAAGTGAAGGCAATAGGAGGGCGGTGAGATAGAGAATGAAGGCATGTCATCTGAAATAGGGTGGGTCAGGGCAGGTTTCTCTGAGGTGACATTTGCACTTAGAAGGATGAAAAGGTACCAGCCATTAGAAAAAGCTAACAGTACTGCAGGCAGAGGGAAGAGCCAGTGCAAAGGCCCAGAGGCTGGAACAAGCATGTCACGTACCAAATGTGATAGCTAATGCTTTATGTTACAAGTAGCATGAAAGGGGGCACCGCCTGGGAGGCAGAGGTTATGGCTTCAGGACTTGGGTGGGTACAGGTGTTCTGATGTGTAGACTTAAATCCCAGGGCATGGGCATAGCGTTTTTCCTCAGAGTCCCCAGGTAATCACCTGTGATACAGAAATCCCCTCGTAAAGGAAGATCCCGGAAGGGGCTGACGTGGTGCGAGAAGGCCTCGGCATGGTGAATGTAACCAGCCTTTGGTGGCCTGCTGGGAGGTGTCGCACGTGGACAGGGTCGTGGGCACTAGAGAGCCTTTCTTCACCTTTGCTAGTGAGGAGAGGAAGAGACAAGACTTTGCTTTTCCATCTCTCTCCCCTGGACTCTAAAAATTAATCCCACTGTCAAGATCCCCAAGCCCCCAGTGTGGGTTTGGGGGGAGAAACAAAGACTTTGAAGTCAAGAAAGAAAGTAGAGAGAGCGTTCTCCAGGCAGACGCTCCACGGGTGATGTCAGCATCTGAGGGGAAAAGCAAAAAAGCACCTGAGGAACCGTTTTAGAGACAAAAAAAAATGAACCGGGAGTAAAGGGTGCTGCTCCCACCTAGGAAAGTAAGTAAATAAATAAAATACTAAAAGGTAGCGCTGAAGCTTTGAAAGGAATTTTTTCACTTATGAAGAATGAAATGCAAACACGATGGGTCATGTGTCTGTTAGCTGGTTTGTGTGTCCTTCCAGAAAGTGAACGGTGGCGCTCTAAGAGGCACGGCTCTTCAGGCTACCCCTGGACTGTTGGGGGTGAGCCCTGAGCTTGTACCCCAGATTCCTTTCCCAAACACACGCTGGCTCTCAGCTGCGAGCCGTGTTCATCCCAGGGCCACAGGCTTCCTGAGCTCCTGCAAGCTCTCACTCAAACCCAACAGCACCGAAAGTTCTGAGATTTACTCCAGCTGTGGCCAATCCCTAATAAAAGTTTCCCCAAATGAGTCAGCCCCACAGGAGGTACATGAGACATTCTGTGTGAAGTCAGCATGTCATTTGGAGTGTGTCTTGTCTACAAGAAGCCCAGCCAGAGCCCTGGTGGTTGCTGGGGTTTGTCCACAGGGCAGAACCCAGACACTGGAGGGAGGGGAGAGTCGGCCACCAAATCACAACTCTAGGTAGTGTTCCCCTCGAGCAAACCTTAGGAAAAACCAGCTTTTCTAAAAGGTTAAGTAAGGGCTGATTCTTTGCTTCACAAAAGGATTCACCAGAGGGGTCCTTTAAATAACCAGCTCAGAGAGAAAATGTACAATAGGATTGATTTAGATGAAAACTTTTTTCAAAAGGGCATCTCTTCACTCTGAGATGATGGTAGGTAAGGATGGCTTCGTAGCCGCCAGCATTACACAGAAGGGTCTGGGGCCCTGTACCCATCGAGGAAATTGGGGCCAGCCTGTAGCTGCGGCATTTGTTGGGAGCCCTGCTTTATCGATGATTCTGCTAATCCCTGAAATTGCTCCACAGGTGGTTCGGCAACCAGGTAAAACCTCCCACTTCTGACCGAGGAGCCGGTGGGATGTCAGGGCCTGTCTTTGTCCTTCCTAGAGAAATTGGCACCACAGAGACTGGAGCCAGCCGGTGGTCTTTATAGAAATATTTTTAAGTATTTATTGAGCATAGTCCATGTCCTTGGCACTATTCTAGGTGCTCTCACGGGCTGCATCTTACTTAGTTCTTGCTGAGAGTCTGTGAGATGGATGGTGATGATGATGATGATGGTGATATTTATTTTTTCATCTGCTAACTTATGAAAGCTGGGTTATTTTTCCTAGCTCTTCTTTGAAAAAAACCTTTTTAATGGAAGCAGCTTTATTTTATATATTTGTGGCTTATTAGAGAAATGTAAGCTTATTGTAAACAATTCAGATAATAGGAGAGAACAAAGAAGAAAGTAAAAATTACCAATTGTCCCACCACTCATATATCTCCCCACTGTTAATATTTTAGTATGCACTCTTTTAGACTTTTTTGTATGTGTATGCAATGAAATATATGTATATTTATATATGTAAACATATATTTGCATATAAGTTTTACAACACACTTTTAAAATATCTACTTTTTTCAACTTACTATATCATGAACATTCTTTTCCATAAACAAAGAATAGAGACCTACAGCACTATTTACCATAGCAGCAGAGAATTCTGTTTTATACATATATCAAAACTGATGTACCTGTCCTCTGTTGTTGGGCATTCGATATGATGGTGTTTATAAACAAAGCATCTTTTCACTTTATGTGCTGCTGCTTATATGTCCAGACACAAAGATTCCTATACATCTTTGCACAATTGTCTGATTATTTTCTTAAAAAAAATTCCTAACGGTGGGATTGCTGAAGTAAAGGGTATATATACACATTACCTTTTGTCACACTTTTGTCAGGATTCCCTCCAAAATATTTGAATAGATGTGCATTCCTGCTTCTCCTGCACCTCTCCTTACTCACTCTGCCTCCCAGGGAAAGTCACTTCCACTCCAGGCTCAGCCTCTTCACCTCTGAAATGGGTGTGAGGACAGCAGGTCATAGTTAACATTTATTAGGCACACACTGACTGCCACGCTGTGTACTGACACTGTTATAGCTTATGTTGGTCATTTATATCTCACAACAACCCTAGGAGGAAAGTTGTAATTGCCCTGTTTTACATTTATTTTTCCCATTTCTGAGGCTCAGAGGGTTAAGTAACTTGCCTGAGGGCACCCCGTTAATAAGGCTAAGTTGGGGTCCAAGGCCAGTTGTGTCACTTCTGGGATGGGGAAGGGCTCTTTCTCACAGGGCCATGCACTTGCTAGTCCAGGTGAACCAGTGGTGTCTGCTTAAGGAATCCATGTGGCTTCTTCACCGCTGGGCATGCTGGGGGACATCACTATTACTCAGCCGGGAGTGACTCGCTCGCCACACTGACTAGTGTGGAAATAGTAAGGAGGGATTTTCCACAAGGTTTGGGGAATTTCCTTTGAGAATCAACTGTCTTCTCACTTTTGTTTTGGAAGAGAGTAAGCATGTTTTCAAAGTCAGCACCATCTCCCACACTGAAATCACAGACCCACACAAGTCCTCCACCCCCACTGCCTTCCTCAGTCTGTGGCCATCTCTCCAGAGCTCCTGGCAGAAACTGTGCCATCGCCTACCCTAGACTCTAATCAGCTTCTGTGATTCTTTTGGCTGTAGGATTCCAGCTCTCTGGGATCAGAGAATGAACCTATCCCGATCCACACCTTATACTTCTTTCACAGGCCTATTTATTTGGATATAGCCAAGCAATCTGAAATATGGGTCCCAGGGGCTGGAGGGAGGCCTTGGGCCACTCCTGCTCAAACAAGCCACTGGCAATGAGCTCACACAAACCCTGTGTGTGGCAGGCACATCCCAGGGACGGTAGCCTTTCCAGACCCTCTTTTTAACCGAAAGAAAGAGATTTTTTTCCACGTCGTTTTAACAGGTTGATGCAAAATAAACAAACAGCTGGAGAGGGAGATGGATGATTTTCAGTAAATAATGGTGCAGTGACCAGCCATTGGAAAGGAGCTGGTAGGGAAATTTCCCACCTCAGCAGTTGGGACCCCACAGAAGGGGCCCAAACAGGGCACAGTGAAGATTGCCAAAGCACATAGCAAGGCTGAAAGTATGTGTCTGTACAGATACAATGGTGCAGGGTGTGTGCACCGTTCCAGGGGTGCCTTTGAGATGTCTTTCGCCACCCAGGACCAGTGTGATTCCATTTGAAATGAGCTCAGGCGTTGGCGGTGTGGGGAGGCAGCCCACTCTGCCTCTTGCTGAGGCTAGGAGTTATGTGCTCAGAGATGCTGGTCCCTGGAGATTCACCCCCTGCGCTGGGAGAAAGGTTTTTATTGCCTTATCTGATACGATGCTGATTCCTTTTAAAAACATGTTGTTGACCAGACATTGCTGATGTGAACTTCACAGAGTCCTCTCAGAGAGGGAGGTGGCCCATGTTTGGGGAGTCTTTGTCATGAATAATTAAAGAGAAGAGAAGAGGGGAGGGCCCAGAAGAAAACTGAAAAGTGGGGGAGGGAGCAAGGAACTAAAAATATCTCTGAAACATCCCCAGTGTGCCTGGCTTGGTGCCTAGCACCTTGCATATTTTTTTCATTCCATCTCTATCCCAACCCTCTGAAGTGGATATTTTTATTCTAATCTTCCAGATGAAGAAATGGATGCTCAAATGGGTTAAGCAACTTGCATTGCTACAGAGCTAAGAGGAAACTACCAAGACTCAGAGAGGTCATAATGGAAATAAAAATGGTTCTATGGAAGGAAGGAAAAAATGTTATTTGAGATATTTCATAAGAGTGATGCTACTGCTCTTATGTGGGCACGAGATAAGGCCTTAAAATCTAGCCATCCGCTGAGGTGCTCATTCACTCTGTGGCTTCAGTAAAGCAATGCAACTTCCTGTGTCTGTGTTTGGCACTCTACAAGCACACATAAGTGACCTTGGATTAGCAATCTGCAACACCTAGGTGTCTAGGAATGAATGGAGGGCACATGAGTTGGAGTGAGGCAGGGGGTCCTTTTCATCTCCCTAGAGTGATATGTGCCCCTTCATGCCCTCCTCACCTAGGTATGACTTCATTGAGATTCGGGATGGGGACAGCGAGTCTGCAGACCTCCTGGGGAAGCACTGTGGGAACATCGCTCCGCCCACCATCATCTCCTCGGGCTCCGTGCTCTACATCAAGTTCACATCCGACTACGCCCGGCAGGGTGCGGGCTTCTCCCTGCGCTATGAGATCTTCAAGACAGGTCAGTGCGGCCATGGGTGGGAAGCCAGGAACTGGGCATCTAAGAGAAGATGGGGCACTGCCATCTGCTTCTGGCCATGGGGCACAGTGTACAGGAACTGTGTAATAGTTATATGCTCTCAGACAAGTTGATGGAGGGGAGGTGGGTTCAAGGTGAACCTGGAGACAGCCCAAGATGAAAAACCAGTTAAACTTTTCACCCAACTTGAGAAGGCGAGTTGCAGGGTTAGTGCTGGGTGCTGCCTGACAGGCCAACAAGCATTGTTTGTGGCACCAAAAGAGGGGGGGCACCAATGAAACAGAAAGCCACTTTTGGAAAGAATCTGATTTTTGTGTTTTTAAAAATCACAGTAATCTTCATGGGAAAAAGCAAAACGTGGTTGACCTTCCTCCTAATTACTTCACGGTTTAATGTTGCCTTAATTTGGAATTACATGGGGCAGGAGAACATAATCTTTTTATTGTTGAGAGTCCCTAAAGATCTCACTGTGACCTGCCCCCTCCCAGTGGGGTCATACAGAGGCTGTTAAATTCAGATATGGTTCCTAGAAGTTCCCCTTGCTCATCCATTTTACCACTTCTACCCATTGAGCCCCCACCTCCTAAATGCCAATGAAGCTGACCCCCTGAAAAACAGTAAAAAAAAGGGGTGGGGGGGAAGGAGGCGTAAAATGTTGCACGTCAAGGTGACAGCTTGCTTTCCATTAGGTCCCCTTAGTTTACTGAGAGTAGGGGCCAGTGCTTATTTCCATAACTGGGTAGAGCCAGCTGTCAGCCACAAGGCGCTGGTTCAGCATCTCCACCGAAGCACTGCAAGCAGCGTGCCCTCCCGTCTGATATGTGAGCTCATTATCTTGAGGCCAAGTGAAACTTATCATCCAATTCTCCCCTCTCCCTTGGCCGCTCCACCATCTAAGAGGCTGCCCGCCCCATCTAACGAGTGCTCCCCTCACCAGCCTACGTTTTGCAACTTGTGGATGGAGCCTGGTGAAAGGGGAGGCCTTGTCATCGAGAGGCCCAAGTCCGGCGCCTGTCGAGTTCAGTGTGAGGGGAGCTATTCATATATATTTTCTTTTTCACTAAACAGTTCTTGAAAGGAAATGGTAGCTGCTGAAAGCACTTTTTATATCCACTCTGTCTAAATATTTGTTGGATTTGTCTGCCTGAGAACAAGAACATAGAGTCCAATGAAGGGGTGAGGCCAAGGGAACTGTATCAGGCCAGAGTGGGAGCCCGGACTCTCCCAGGACACAAGTCCCAGGAAGGTCCCTCTGCCGTGGGTCCTCATGCCCCTGACTCTGTGAGGTCACAGGGACTGACAGTCTGTGTCCAGTGGCTCGGGGCTGGTGGGAGGCTCCCAAATAGCTTGCTCCGCAGTCCCTTGAGTCCGTACAAGATTCAGATCACTGATGAAAAGCTTATTGTTCCCTGTCTGGGAGCAGTGGGGGAGAGAGGAGAAGAAGAATAAAAGAGTGTTGCCCTCTTCTAGTGAAGGGGACAGGTGTGTCAACCCTAGCTCCTAACAGAGGCACAGTAGATGTTGTTAGATGAATATATGCAAACAGATATGTAAATCGGAAGAACAACTGTAACTTGGGGCAGAGTGAGTGAGCCCTCAGTGAGGTGCGACTAACATGCTACGGTCATAACAATGAGGGCTCCCTCGGGGGGCTTGGCAAGCAGAGAACCTGGGAAGTCTGTTAGATAGGAAGGTCCCCAGTGCGAAAGCTGTCGCTCGGCTCCACTGTGCTCCGAGCAAGGTCTTCCAGGGAGCAAGACGAGCAGGACCGTGCAGGCTCACCTCTGTTCCTGCCTCCTGACTTGGTGCTTCGCAAGAATGCTGCCACATTCTTCAGAAAGCCACAGAAAAAGGGAATTTTAACGCTGTCCCTCATGCAGATTTGAAGGGACGGTGTTAAAAGATAAAACACACAAGAGGGTATATTATAACTGGGCGTTGCGGCTCTGAGGACAGGTGGAAGTAGGATTTCGAGTGAGGCAGCGAGTCCACGCACTTCCGAGACACAATAGTGCCAGCCAAGAGAGGGGGCTTGAGCGTGGAGAAATGGGGACCCCATTTAAGGACTGACACTGTCTGTACCGGGAAGAAGGAAATTACTGCAGTGGGGGGTGTCCTGCTGACAACAGCCATACTTCTGGGGAATGGAAGAGGGAAGGTGAGAGCCCAGTGGTTTTCTCAGGGCCACTTACCTGCCATCATACCCACTGCAAAGAGCAGCTCTCGGCATGTGCAGGGGTGCACAATTCAGCATTGTTCCAGGTGCCGTGCCCTGCACCCACTGTTGGAGTCTTGAGAGAAAATACACCGTTTACATCACCTGCCGAACATGAAAGAAATGCACGGACGTTCTAAAGAAATCCAAACAAACACAGCTATGTTTGCTGATCAGATTCATAGAGAAAGAAGGCGGAACCATAAACACAGATACGCAAATAACCATACAGAGGGCTCTGGAAGCCTTCGACGGCACACTGCCTTGGCAAGACTGCTGCAAAATTAAACCCACAGACATACACCCACAGCTTGGGTACAGACAGGGGCCATGTGGCTGAAGTGGGAGGTTCATGTCTGCCCTGAATGAAGTGGTTTATAAAAGAGTCTATATATTACCAGACTATCCACATATAAAAGGGTAAACCAAAACAACTCGTAAACTTAAAGGCTCTCCAGTCACCAAATCATGAGCAGAACAGAGAAAGGAATTTTAAAGTAACTTAAAATATAGCATCGGAGACTGAATCCCTGGAAAATGTGGTTTGTTTGTTTGTTTGTTTTCTGATGCTCCTTGGACCAAAGTTCAAGATCAAGTTTTCTTTCCTGGTGCTCAGTGACATTCTGGGAACTGCAATCTCTGGGGTTGTTCACAGACAGAGAAAGCCTGGAGTGCCCGCTCCCCCCACTCCCGGAACNGGTTTGTTTGTTTGTTTGTTTTCTGATGCTCCTCGGACCAAAGTTCAAGATCAAGTTTTCTTTCCTGGCGCTCAGTGACATTCTGGGAACTGCAATCTCTGGGGTCGTTCACAGACAGAGAAAGCCTGGAGTGCCCGCTCCCCCCACTCCCGGAACTGAAGAGCTGTATTCACCTCTGGTCAGGCCAAGCTCAGCTTTGGATAAATCCACCATGTTGTAAAAAGCTTTATGCGTACAGATTCTTCTTCCGCTTTCAGGGCTGCTGTAAAATTTACAGTGGAAAAGCACGGCGTGGACATTTTTCATACCCGAGCCCTTTGGTATGAAATCATTCACTGCAGCTGAAATCCCCCAGCTTCTATGGACAATCTCAGCACTGAGTGAACTTGAGTATTTGTTGACTGAGCTATTTTTTTATTTTTTTTTTTTAATCTTTAGCTCTGTAACACATTACAGAAAAGGATCTTGGATTAGGTAGATAGCTGCAAAACTCAACTTTTGTCTCAAGGAGAGTCACCCTTTTCCGAGATCCCTTCTCCACATTTGCATTCAGCTGCCTGCTTTCTGACACTTTGACCACAGTAAATAATGAGATGGNATTTTTTTTTTAATCTTTAGCTCTGTAACACGTTACAGAAAAGGATCTTGGATTAGGTAGATAGCTGCAAAACTCAACTTTTGTCTCAAGGAGAGTCACCCTTTTCCGAGATCCCTTCTCCACATTTGCATTCAGCTGCCTGCTTTCTGACACTTTGACCACAGTAAATAATGAGATGGTGCAATTACAAACTCACGCTTATAATGGGAAAGTTTGAGTTTTCTGCATAAAAAGGGTAAAACTCTTTGCCTACCTCATTCCAAATAAGCCAGGTCAGAGACAGATACACACTCTGTTTTTCTTTTCTTTTTTTCTTTCCGTAAGGATGTCAGATTACAAAATTCTGCCCAGTCAAGTGCAGGGCCTCAGAACCTGGAAACAGTGGGCACTTTAGGTCACATCTCCAGGCTGCTCTCAGTGTTACTCAGTGTCCTTTGTAGAAGCCTCTGGCCCCCACGGATGATTCCACCGTGAATTNGGTGGACACTTTAGGTCACATCTCCAGGCTGCTCTCAGTATTACTCAGTGTCCTTTGTGGAAGCCTCTGGCCCCCATGGATGATTCCACCGTGAATTCCCCACTCCCAGGGGGGTGGGGATTCCCCTTGCCTTGGAGGGGAAAGACAATGGAGCCAACTCCCGGAGGGAAAGTCAGGGTTCCTCTTCTAGCTCTGGAAGCAAGTTGTGAATAGAGACTAAATTTCCTCTGGCTGAGTGACCCGCGGGAAGAAGGGTGCACAGCAGTCACAAACGCTAACCTTTTCAAAGTTCCCTGAGGCCCCAGGACCTGCCTGCTGGCTTGGCTTGGCTTGGCCAAACTGCCTTACCCCAGGCCATTGAGGGAGGCCCTCGGGAGCTGAGGGCTGGATGGTAAAGGAACTGGGGATCTTTGGTTGACACACAGGGGGAGGCCATCCACCTCCTCCCTCTGGCCCTGGCCCCCCATGGGGCTGCCCTGCCCCCAGTGACTGAATGCAGAGCTGCTGAGATGTGGCACTTAGCCTCCAACAAGTCCTGAAAAGGTTAAAGGTTAGCCCCTCCCCCCAGGTGCCCAGGGTCCCCACCTCGCCAAAGCCCAGGGCTGGGTAGTAGAGATATTGGAATTTCCTGCCTCATGATAAAGTTGCAACCCCCCTCCCCCGCTCATTTGCATGACACCTTTTTAAGTCAGACATTTGCAGCTTTCCTGAAAGCCCTGGTCAATACGGAGTCTCACGGAGGGGCCCCTGCAGGAGCCGCGGGTAAAGACAGTGCTGCGGGCCAGGATCAGCAGAGTTATACTTCAGCGGGCTCCCCAGAGGACACTTCCTGCCAGTAAACACCTGGTTTATGGAGGGGTTTTGTGTTTTTTTCTTCATGCTTAGAGTGCCTATTTATCCTCTTCATAAATCCTGGTCCTTTTTTTAATTTTAAAATCGGAACGTCGTGAAATCCAGTCTAATTGGCCTGCAGGACGCGCCCTGCATTAACTTGTAACCACTGCGCGCTCTGCACCTCATGCGCCGGTGGTCAGGCGCAGTGTCCCGGGACAGCAGTGACCCCGACAGCCCTGGGCCTCTCCTGGCAAACGGTGGCTGGGTTAAATAAAGTACAGGAGGGCTTTCAGTGTGACTCCACCCAGAGGCATTGGGAGAGAGGGAGGCTGTAACCCTCTCGCGGCTCCCGCCCTCCAAGCCTCCCCAGGATGCGGGTGTGTGCCACATTTAGTAAGGACGCCGCCTGAGTCCCAAGAAGGCAGACACAAGCGCTTAGGCGGGAAGCAAGGCCATCCCCACAGAAAGGAACCAGAAGCCTTCCAAATGTCGGTGCGCGGCCGCATTTTTCCAGACTTGCTGCTGGAGCGGCCTTTCACATCCCCAACGCCCCGCTGTGATCCACCGGCTACAAACGTCGATTGTTAATTGTCTGGCCACTACAGAGCAGCTCGTTTTAATATAGTCATGACATGAATGAGACCCGAGCTCCCCTTTGCCCCTCCCCTGAGGCACCTTGGATCTTGGAGGGAGAAGGGGGCACTTGGTTGGCTCTGGTACAATAGGGGCTGTGTTGAGGTCAGCAATAAATAAGGGGTAACATTGTTTGCCCTGCTGGCAATCAGCAAGCCTTCCTTAAGGATTGAAATAACTTACATTTCTGGAGCAAGCAGCTGAGTAATTGAGAAAGAAGACTCTGTTCCTCTTTGCAAGAGAAGCTCTCTCTCTCTTCTCTCTTTTCTCTCTCTCTCTCTCTCTCTCTCTGACACACACACACACACACACACACACTTCTTTCTCCCCCCCCCTCAATTCCTCAATTACTATTCTTACCCTTATATGTAGAGCAAGCNTTCTTTCTCCCCCCCCCCTCAATTCCTCAATTACTATTCTTACCCTTATATGTAGAGCAAGCCATCTTGCCTCCTTAATTTCTCTCTTAAAGAAGGTCTGGCTTAAGGGCTTGAAACATGAATGTGAAGAGTATGTTGCTTCAAGGGCCACTCCAATGGAAACAAAAACCTCATGAGTAGGGGGATTGGGGCCCAAACATTTAAATAACACATGCAACAGAGGCAGCTAAGAAAGGCATCTTCCTGTACTTTCTTAACGCTACGGTTCTCTTTTACATACAGGCTCCGAAGATTGTTCAAAAAACTTCACAAGCCCCAACGGGACCATTGAATCCCCGGGGTTCCCCGAGAAGTACCCACACAACTTGGACTGCACCTTCACCATCCTGGCCAAACCCAAGATGGAGATCGTCCTGCAATTTCTGACCTTTGACCTGGAGCACGACCCCTTGCAGGTGGGAGAGGGAGACTGCAAATACGATTGGCTGGACATCTGGGATGGCATTCCGCAGGGTGAGTGGTGTCCCTGTCACAATGCACTTCTCAGTAGCCCCCCCTGTGCCTGTTAATTGCTTTAGTAACAATAAAAAATGAGAACCGAGACTTCAAAGCTCCTTAGGGTTTGTCTGTGACCCATGATAGCTTTCTTTACTTATCGGTCACCAAGGATGATGTCAAAGACACTGCAGAAAGGCAGTTTCCCTTCTTGGAGATAATGGTTTGGAGGATAGGAGGAGACTGAGTTGGTCCTTAGATGAAAATGAGAAAAACCATAGGTGATGTTCTTTTCTGCTCCACGTTGCCAAGATTTCCATAGAAAATGACTCAGTGGCCACCCTCTGTGCCCACATAGGACTCTAGAGCTGGAATGATAAGTTTTAACCCCTGACTCTGCTATTAGCACGTCTGCAACCTTGGGCAAGTTGCTAACCTGTCTGTCGAATCTGTATAAATAAGCTGCTGTCATTGTCATTATTATCACTATAATTTCATTATTATGAATATAGTTGTAGATGTCAAAAAGCTACATCACCCAAAGCCAAGAAGAACCAGGAACCTGTACTTCTGAGGAGGAGACCAGCATAAGTCTTGAGTGTAGTCAGTATCGGTGAGGAAACCAGCCTTTCGCTTTGGTAGTCAGTGTTTTGCCCTGAAACGGAGACTTGACAGCTAAGCAGTTTCATTTCCTGAGAAAAATACAAGATTTAGTCATAAAACTCAGGTTTGAGTCGCAGCTCTGTTAATTCCTTGCTGTGTATGAACAACAAAAAGTCATGTGACCTCTCCGAACCTCCATCTATTCTTCTGTAGAGCAGTCTTGATAGTGATACCTTTCCAGCCCATCTCCCAGGGCTGAGAGTACAGAGTAAGGCAGGTCAGTGAAAGTGCTCTTTACTCTGCAAAAAATATTAAACATTGTTCTTAAAACAATGTTTGGTGGTTCTTTTATGCCAAGGCATGCAAAGGGATGCTCTATTGAATGACTTGCACTCGTTCAAAGGGAGAATGTATTGAAAATGGAGTTTGCCATTTCCATATCTGTTGACCTCTGTTTGTTCTGCATATCCAGTTGGTCCCCTGATTGGCAAGTACTGTGGGACCAAAACACCCTCTGAACTGCGTTCGTCGACGGGGATCCTCTCTCTGACCTTTCACACAGACATGGCAGTGGCCAAGGATGGCTTCTCTGCACGCTACCATCTGGTCCACCAAGAACCACTAGAGAGTGAGTTGGCTGGCTGGGAACCTCTGACCTGCCCTTTCATCAGAGGAGTGAGAGTGTGCTGACCTCTCCAAGACAAGGGGCCTGGCGGGAATTCTACAGAATTTGCAATGGCATCAGTTCAGAGAATGGGAGCTGTATCCTCTTGTTAGACAAAGATGAATGAAAATAGAACAAATATTGATTTGGGTGCTCATTTCTTTAAAGAAAAAAAAAGTATGCATACCAAGAATTAGTTATTCCCAGGGTACGTTATGAGACCATCTGAAGCCTCAGTTTTCTCATCTATGAATAGAAGGGAGGTTAGTTGGGATATCTATATAGAGTTCCCCTCTCTGCTTACATGTTTTTAAAAAGTCTCAGGCCCTTTTTCTCCCTTTCCAAGTCTCAATGGCCATTGTCAGAAAACAGCAATTGTATATCTCTCTCTATAAATGTTTTGACATTAAACATCCTTGCCCTCGGTAGAGTTTCCCTCACTAGACTGGTATACTGGTTGGACTTCCACTTCACACTTCCAATAAACACAGCTTTCTGAGCTTCTGCTACATGTCAGGCACTATGCACAGCTCTGACCCCAGTTAACCTAGAACTTGCTGTCTAGGTCATCAGTCTCTTCCCCTGAGCTCCATCTTCATATCAGCTCCTCTTGAATATGTGCTTCAACTGTGCTTCTGTTTCCACTTAAAAACCCAAATGATAACTTTAAAGACTAAAGGGCTGCTTTGAGGATGGTTAGAACTGGGGAAGTTCTACCATGGTTGTAGATAGCATGCCACATGCTTACCTGTAGACATGGCAGCCTGGCCTGCTGGAAAGTTGATGAGTTTTATTCTGGGGTTTTTTCCTTCCTTTTTTTTTTAAAAAAAATTTGTTATTTATTCAAAGGGCTCATGAATATTGAGTGACAAGAAAGTAATATTGCAAATTTTGCACCAAGGGCTTGCAAATGGCAAGGGCAGTCACAAAGCTAAATAGGTTTGATACCTGAAAAGGTTGCCAGTCCTTATCAGACACATGCACACACAAATATTGACCAGTGTCCACAGTATCCATGGGAAGGACAGCAATTAAACTGATGGCACAAGGTCAGAGTATGGGACTTCTGGGTCTATTTGCCCATACAGGTGATTTGGAGGAATGTAGAGTGACATGCATATGTTTATAGAGAGGTCTCCCAAAGACAGGTATTTATTGCTTTGTAATGTCTGTCTTCTGTGCTACAACTCATGAGACACTGGAGTAAAAGAAAGAAGGAAGCAAAAAGCGCCTTCTGGGTGTTTATTAATAAAGCAGGCTTCCCACGATGTATCAGCCCACCCAAATTGCCACAGTCTATCACACATGTACCTGTATTTTAATAATGGTGCATCTGGCATCTGTAGCCTGCAGCACTAACAGTTCTTGTGCTTTAGATTGTATTTTTAATTTGTATGATGATTCTTACTTACCCACAGCCTGATTTCTTTTAGGTCCAATTTAGTTTCTTTCAGACCCAGAGGGGTTGTCAAGCTCTATGACTTGGTGTAGTTGTTTTTAACATGTGAGTGTATAATTAGGTCTTTGTGATGAGAGAGTGCCTGTAAAGACTTGTCCCTAGAAGGGAGGAGTGTTTTGAGAATCCCAAGGGTATGAAGTTGAGATACCTAACTGCACTTGACCATCTCCACTCCCCAGATTTTCAGTGCAATGTCCCTCTGGGAATGGAGTCTGGCAGGATTGCTAATGAACAGATCAGTGCCTCATCTACCTACTCTGATGGGAGGTGGAGACCTCAGCAGAGCCGGCTCCACGGTGATGACAATGGCTGGACACCCAACTTGGATTCCAACAAGGAGTATCTCCAGGTACCTACTCAGACATCAGAGGGTGTGCAGGGCATGTGTATATTGGTGGGCAAAAGACACATAGAAAATAAACACAGCATACTTGAGAATACCATTCATTCACCTGTCTGCACAGATACATGTGCCAGGCACTGTGCTGAGTGCTGGGATAAAATGATGAGTAACATGGGCACTGCCCCGCCCTTGTGAAGATAACCAGGCCTTGGAGAAATTATTTGGCCAAGATGCTGTTTGCCCTATCACTATAGACATCCCAGGAACAGTCTATGAACAGTTCTAGATATTCCTCGTTCTTGGCACAGGGAAGCATCAGAAATGTGACAAGGTAAGGGGTGGCGGGCGTCTTCCTAAGGGCAGGCTTGTTAAGTTGCTAGCTGAGCATGGCAGCTTCCCATGATCTTTGCTATCTGGAGGGAGCCCTGCCAGGCAGGTTTTGCACATAGCTATCAGAAGAGCACATGGGGAAATGTCACTACCAGGAATGAAACTCCGGTTGCCCAGATGCTCTGCAGCATTTTTTCAGACTACTGTTTGCTTTCCTTCTGAATAAGACTTGGAGTCATGTTGAGTAATCCTCCCTTGCATGACAGACTGGTCCAATTCTCATCCCCAGGGAAGAGCAAGCTGCTAGTTCTGTGCTAGAGCAATGACTTGTGACACACAGCAGCCAGCCATGTGACCCGTTGACAAGCCTGTCTTATCTCTGATGCGACATGGTGACCTCTGCTCTGAGAAGGACATTGCAGAGCACACAGTGGGAAAGGGAGAAAGACCACTTAGAAACTTTCAGGGAGGTTCTCACAGCACGACCCTAAGGCCATTTGTCACTGTCTCTCCCAAAATCCTTTTCATCCTGCAAAGCTTCCAGAAAGTTCTCCCTTGTAATGGGCATTCCATTGATTATACCCTTAGTTTTGGTGCTTAATCACATACTTCCTCTTACTGCTATCCACCTGTTTATCATGCACAGATACAGCACTGGGTACTTCTTTTGAATGTATAATAGTGCTGAGCACATATTAAGTAGCCAATAAATGCTTGCTGAATCAAATTTTACCAGTGTGTATGGGCTAAATGTTGGTCATATGGAGGTTATCATTAAGAAACACTGTGGCCGGCAAAGGAATGACATCCAGCAATTTCCAAATGGGTTTGGTGTGGTGGAAGGGGAGGTGTCTCCAAATGTTGGCCATCTTCCTCATCAAACAAAGGTCAAGACTTGGTGCATAAGCCTAATTGTTTGGGCAGACTCTGCATGCCCTTTGACCTCTTACTGACCTGAGCCACTAAATACACAATGGATCGAGGGACGGAGGGGAGGGGAGACAGACCTGAGCTGAGACTTTTGCAGCTAGGGCATCCTAAGTGAATTGGATTGAACTGGACTGGAATTGAGTGGAGTGGATTGGATTGGATTTAGCAATTGTTCCTTTGAAACAGAACCTGCTTTCACTATCCAAGGCTAGCTGCTGTTTAGTAAGATGGGGTCATACTTCTAGACATTCAATGATTCCTTTAAGATAAACTTAATACTGTCAATTCAGATTTGTAAAAAAAAAAAAAGAGAGAGGAAAAAAAAAGAATCATTACAGTTTCAAAGGTGTCCCATTTAGTGTCAAATAAGTTGAGTTGAACTGTCCAGTGGAATTGCAAATTGGTCCTTAATCACTGATACATCTGAGTGAATCACAGACATAGGTTGTGAGCTGAGTGTTACAATTGTGTCCTTTGAAGAGAAAGCAAGATGCTGCCTGGCGTTGGGAGCCACAGCCCCCTTACTTCTCCGCCTCTCTTCCTCAGGTGGACCTACGCTTCCTAACCATGCTCACAGCCATTGCAACACAGGGTGCGATTTCCCGGGAAACCCAGAATGGCTATTATGTCAAATCCTACAAGCTGGAAGTCAGCACTAATGGTGAAGACTGGATGGTGTACCGGCATGGCAAAAACCACAAGGTAAACCCATCTCCCCACCTCAAAGGCATGCGGGGACGGTGCGGGACAGGCGGGATGAGAGGAGCTTGCAGTCGACCCCACACAGGGAAGGAAGCCTTGTTCAGTGACGCTCAAATAACTGATGGAGGCATGGGAGACGCTGGCCCGGAAAATGTTCTTCCTTATGCTAAAGTGATTGGAAAATACCATTTCTCCGACAGCCTGGCTGCTGTTGCATCTTGCAGAGCAGAGAGAGAGCTTGCAGAGTGCTCTCTGACTGCAAATGAAGGAGAAAATGTGTTCTCAGTCCGAGTCTCCCCACACAGGATTCATTGAGCATTTATGGCCTGAGTCCCTTCCCCGTGCTGGATTAACAATCACAAAACCACATGAAACGGCAGTTTAGGAGTTACTGAGGTCTGGAAATGAAAGGGCACAAATTCTGAAAGGGAATCACAATGTCCCAAAGAAGAAAGAGGACAATAAATAGTGAGGAGAAATTCCTTTTGTCAGGGATGGCATCTGAACAGGCAGTCATGCTTGGGAGCAAAGCATTGAAATCTCTCTGCTGGTGCCATCAATGTTGGTGACTCCCGGAGGTTGTGACCGGATGGGTGATGTGGGGCTTTTGTTGTACATATGGACAAAAGACTGGCACTCAGATTTCTTAAGACACATGGCATTCTGGCTTGAACAGGCCTGTGGCTGGCGCTGGCGATGTGGTTGTGCGCTCGTGTCTGGGGCTTATTATAAATGGTCGGTGGTCTCACCTGGGCAGGGGGAGAGCTCTGGTCATCATTATCATTGTCTGGCTCTTAGGTCTGGAAGGAAAGTGTTCAGCATGTCTCCTCTTTTGTGCTATAGTTCCACCAGGCCCCTGGTCTGTTGGGTTGTGAATGACCAAAATGGTATACGTGTGGCCAGACCTAGAGAGGCCAAAGATCTTTTCCAAACAGTCTCCTCAGGTCTTCACTGGTCCAAGGCTTGCTCTTGCCAGTACAAATGGAAACCTTGGACCCAGAATATCCTGAGCTATAGTGTTGGTGGCACTGTTTCACTTGGGAAACATGAATCTTTAAAGGAGTGGATTTTTTAACATTAAAATTGCCATAGTAACATGGCACCATTCATCTGAAAATCGTGGCTTCTCAATATTACTAGGCATCGATGCAATACACACATACACAGGAATTCCCCATTTCACAGATAAAGAAAGCGGGTGAAAGACTTCCTCGCCCTGACCCATGAAGCCAGGTCTAGTTTCTCACTGACTTTGTTTGTTTCAGAAAGAGTGGTCAAATATCACTTGGAAATGGCAGGCCTGGGTGGGCACTGGGGGCTGGGAGCACTGTGGACTGAGTCTTTGTCCCACCTCACTCATTTTCATGACGTCTTTTTCCACCCACCCTTTTTAGTAAGAACTGGTGGAATGCAGAAGCTTAGCCAGGTAGGCAAGGGCCAGCAGCTGGGTAGCGGTGGGTCCTGGGGGAGGAGAGGAGGTTCACCTGACCGCCGCCCTGTCCGGGCTCAATGACTAAGCAGGGCTGGCCAGAAGGATACTGTAGCATAAGCTGATTTTAAAAGCACACAGATGGACCAGGATGCTATTTAAAACACCATTTGTAGGAAATCTGCTTTTGGAAATACCTTAGCACTGCACATTTTGACAGAATGCTGTCCTCCCTGGCTTTATCCCTGGTGTTTGTTCTGCAGAGAGGATATTCCTGAGAATTGAATGTTGCTTTCTGGGCTCCTTTAGAATCATTCTTCTCAACATTTTCATATTGGATACATCATTCTCTCTCTCTCTCTCTCCTGTCTCCTCTTCCTACCCTTGGCTAAATTTTTTTCCCCAGTAGCCAAAGGGTAATTTCATTTTTGTTTTGTTTCATTGTTTTTTTAGTGAATCGATCCTGCCCACATAAAGACACCGGGGCAGAGGAGTAGTCCTGTCTCTCCCCATTAGAAACTCATCCTCTTGGTACCTAAAAGGACGTGGGAGATGCAAAGCTTGCCAATTAGGCATTGCTCCCATGCTCCCTCGCCCCATGCGGTGTGGCAGGCGACAGAGGAGACCCTGCTCGGTCCTCCCTCCCCTCCAAGGGTGATCTCCGCTGCCCCTTCGTTAGCAGATCTACCTCCCAGACATCTGTATTTAATGTGCAGATTCCATACCGTTCATGAGCCTCCACGTGGCTCTCTGGGCTGTTCGGGTTGAAATAGTTGAGTGAACCATGCCAAATAGATTTGTCAAGTCTGCTGCAGTTTGATTTGATGCCATGAAGAGGAGGCAGGGTAAGGAGGGAACTTGGGGGCAGTGGAGGGAGAGGCTTCGTCTGTGCTGGGCACTACCGCTGAGCCTTTCTTTGTAGCCGCTGGATGGTGGGCGCCGTGCCAAGCTGACTGGTGCTAAGTAGTGGGCTTGAAAGCAAAATTCAGACAGCAGGACCTGTGAGTAAAGCAGAGCCAAGACAGAGGCAGCAACCGGCTCTGCTCAGTGTGGGGGGCAGGGTTCATAGACTTCAACCAGTGCAGAGGGTCTGAAGAGGCGATGGTGATTTGGGGGGCAGAATTGTGGGAACTTCATTTTATCCCCTGGTCACTGTCAACACCAGTGCAATGTACCAAAGACCAGGGAATTGGGGACACTGGAGAAAAGTAAGATTAATGAGCATTCAAGGTGATGGGGGATTGGCTGTGCTATTTCCTTGCAAAACACTATTTATAATTTGCACCCAGTCTGGGCTAAGGCAAGGACTGGGCCTGTGGGGAAAAGAAGTGAGGAAAACTCAGGAACTCTTTCTCAGCCTCCCCTAGCCCAGGAGCAGCCTCTTCTTAGTCTCTTTCTATCCAACAGGTAGTAGTAGGGTTGGTTGCCTAGGAAAAAGGCATTACACTGTTCCCGTGGGTATTGCGAGCATCCTCTTGGCAAAACGCAGCACAGTTATGCAGACCATATGCACAGCACATTCCCAAATCCTTATCCAATCCCACATGCCGTAAACATGGACCCTATGATTTTCCTATAGGGTGGGTCCTCCTTATGCGTATTTATGGCATAACCACAAGGCAGAGAGCCCATCCGCCCGCCTGATGGAGCCCATATCTCACCCATGTGCTCCCTTAGATTACCCAAATTGCTTCACGTAGATTTCCTCCAAAACCACAAGCAGAAAACGACTGCTTTTGGTTTCCCCAGCTGTATTAATAACACCCCAAACACAGACAGAGTGTTGTAAATACAATAGTAGGAGGTTCATGGATGTGTCTGTAATTATAGGCACAATTATGTACACATAAACCCAGGGAGAGGGAGGCGCAGCAAAGGCCTTGGCCAAGTTCCTGCTCACCTCTGAGATGCTGGTTCCATGAGACTGCATTAGAGGGAATGAGACTAAGACTGGTGTCAGGACAGGGGGACAGAGGCCATTGCCCTTATATATCTAAGCAAAAGCCCTTGTCTTCAGTCCTCCCTTATTTGGTAAATGTGGGCACCTCCCTTGTTGCCACAGCTCTGGTTACCTTTCTCTTAGTCACAGTGCTGCTGGGCTATTCTGATGTATTTTGAAGAAATTTTAGCTAAAAGAGAAAGTCTAGAGGATGCTAAATATATCCTGATGACCACATTGAGAATGGCAGGGTGAGAACTGGGGTGAAGAAAGGTTTGGGTCCAAGAGTTTTTAGAATTACCCCATAATGAATGGCAGAAATACACTAAGTTCGTCATATTAATGTAATGATGACCTCCAAGGGGCTTGGAGAATCCTCAGACACCAACTTATTTGCTTCCAAATTTAACCGGGTTTAAAAGACTATGGAATTGAAGCTCTCAGAGACAAGTAATTTGCCCCAAGGACAGGGGGAACTGTGGGGTCCCTGTAGAAGGCACCTGATCACCGGGCTTTGACTCCCAGGCAGGTGTTCTCAACAATCTGGTCCACACCTTGCTCACCTCTTGCACCCAGAGGGAAATTGGCTGCCTAGCTCTTCTGTCTAGAGGTGGAGAGCTGTGCATTTTCCTGGAGATCCTCTGTTACAGTGGAGATCTAAAGGCAGGTCACACCTGGACAGCATGGCTTGGAGTGCCAGGTTCAGTGTTTCAGAGTTTAGGCTCCATCCTAAAATCCTGAGAATGTAGAGTTGAAAGAAGTCACTTTGCATTTGATTTGTCCACATCCCTTGAAAACAAACAAACACTCCACTTCAAAAATTCTCTGTCCTACATTTATTTTCTAGATTAAAACGAATCATTTTGAAAGCCATTTGAGAATTTTAAAACCTCTGCAAAATGACCAGAGAGGAAGAGAGAGAGTGGTGTTGGAAAACCAAACCCCCCCTCAACAGTTGGAACCACATGGCATCTATTCCTAGATGATGAACTGTGTGATCTTGGAAATTTCTCTGAGCAGCTTTGTGCCTCAGTGTTTCCATTCACCCAAATGGATGGTACTGCAGCTGTTGGCAGAGCACCTTGGGATCCGTAGATGGAAGGCTCTCTGCCGATATAATTAATGTATTAGATCTACAAAGCTCTTCGTGAGCAGAAGCAAGTTATCAATTTTAAAAGTAACAAGGCCCCATGGGATATTTATCTGCCTTTTTAAAATCAGAGGTCTGGGAGGGACCTAATAAGTCATCCAGACCTCTCTCTGCATCTGATGGGCCTACACTTGCGCTGCCTGAGACAAATGTTACCCCGCTCAGCCTCCTCTTAGGAGTGCCATCAATTCTTCCAATGAATAATTTTGAGTTTTCAAGAAATACTTTTTTTTTAATCTCCCAGTGGATGATTGGCTTCCCCTTATCCTTTTTATTGTTGTAATTGTGTTTGTTGTATATAAGATTAGGGCATGACTCAAATCGTCAGCTAGTAATGGGCACCAGCCTTCAGATGTCATGGCTATGACTGCATCATTTCACCAGGGTACGTGTGTTCAGAAGAGGCTGACACCCTTTCCAAACTCAAGTCCCCCCATTTATCTGCTCCCCCTCCATTATAACTGAGAAGAACCCAGGGCCCT